AGATTTTATTAAAAAGTCTTTTAAACTTGTTTTGTGACTTATTTTTGTGCCCCCTGGAAATCTTTGTAGTTGATTTACAATATGTATCATCTCATCTCATTTTCTCTCTCTCCCTCCCCCATAAGAAGCAATGCTTATGTAAGCTCGCCTGTTCTGATATCTGCTTTATCTGTTCTTTATCCCAAATATGCAGTCAAATATTAATGTGATTATCCATAGTCCAAATGACAAGAGCTTGAGATATAAAAATATATATATTTAATTTTTTAAAGGAAAGTAGTTTTCCCCTTGATGTTAAAAAGATTTACTACAGTATATTCAATAGTTGCATGGTTTTCCCAATTATACATACTTTAAAGCATTAGGCAGAACTTGCAGTTCATCTACAACAGTCTCATTATTGAACTATTAATGAAAAAAAAAATATATATATATATATATTTAATATGTCTGAAGGGTTGTATTTTAGGTTTCAGCCACAAGATGGTGCTGCCCAAATGTTTAACTAGGCGATCCTTTGTATTAATTTATCAAATGTTTATCCAAGACATTATGCCTTGAGAATGCAGTGCATGCTTAGATTGTATGGTATGCAATGCAAATACATGTTTTCACTACTAAAAAGTAGTGCCATTCGATAGACATGGATTTAACCGAGGTAGGGAAAAAGAAAAAAAACAAAAAAAAACAAGGACATCAACAATGTATTTACAGAATGAAGGAAACTATTCAGCGTACACAAAATTAAGCTAGAAATTAATTAACAGTGTAGATTAAATATAAAATTCCACAGAGGGAGATTTAAAAAAAATAAAAATCTTTTTTTTTTTCAATTCTGCTGTAACTGTTGATTACAAAAGGAACACCTTATTATCAAAATAAGTATTGTGAAATATATAGACTATTAAAACTTTTGTAAATACATTTGCTACCACTACCCTTGAACAAAATCCTTGGCATAATCCTTCCAATGATCAGGGACAGAGCAGTGGTGCACGGTAGTCTAAATGACAAAATGCTACGAGGAAATTAAGAGATTCTGGACGCCAGGAAGGACTCTACATCTAGAAATAACAGTTAGGATTTTTCTTAGAATATAGAAAACCTTGGAAAATAATTGATTACAATTTAGAATATTATTATATTTTCCGCTATAATTTTAAAGCTGGAGAGTGACCCATCTCCAGTTGTTTATATCTGTCCTTACTTTATAAAGGGTTAACATGTAGGAAGTTAAAGGACCACTATAGGCACCCAGACCACTTCAGCTTAATGAAGTGGTCTGGGTGCCAGGTCCATCTAGGATTAACCCATTCTGCTGTAAACATAGCAGTTTCAGGGAAACTGCTATGTTTACATTAGGGTTAATCCAGCCTCTAGTGGCGGTCTCATTGACAGCCGCTAGAGCCGCTTCCGCGCTTCTCACTGTGACAATCACAGTGAGAAGACACCAGCATCCACAGGAAAGCATTGAGAATGCTTTCCCATGGACTGGCTGAATGCGCACGCGGCTCTTGCCGCACATGCGCATTCAGCCGATGATGGGAAAGGAGGCGGAGAGTCACCCACCACCGAGGGAGCCCCGCGATGGAGAGAAGGTGAGTGTTTGACCCAGTGGTGTATCCTGGTTTTGTGCTGCCCTAGGCAGGACAAAACTCAGGCGCCCCCCGCCCCATCTTCTAAATACACACACACAGTCACACCGACACACACACTCACATTAACACTTTATTTTTATTTTATTATTATTATTTAACCGCCCCCCCAGCTTCCTTACCTTTGGGAATGCTGGGGGGTTTCTCTTTCTCCCTGGGGTCCAGTGGCTGCCAGTCGGGCTGATGAGGGAGCACTTCCTCTGAACTGTCTGCTCAGCTCCCTCGCGCGCCGCAGAGTGAGCCTGGGAGCCGGAATATGACGTCATATTCCGGCTCCCAGCCTCACTCTGCGGCGCGTGAGGGAGCCGAGCAGACAGTTCAGAGGAAGTGCTCCCTCGGCAGCCGCCCGCTCAGCAGGTCTGTTAGCCGTGAGGCTAACAAGGCATTTGCCCTGGGCATTTGGGGGCGGCGTTTTTTGCCGCCCCCTGGAAAATGCCGCCCAAGGCGAAAGCCTTGTTTGCGTCGTGGCTAATACGTCCCTGGTTTGACCCCTTCCTCACCCTAGAGCTCGGCGGGAGGGGAACCCTAAGGGTGGGGGGGACCTAGAGACACTATAGTGCCAGGAAAAAAAAAGTATGTTTACTTTAAGAGAAAAGTATTTTTCCAATTGCCCTTAAAACACCGCAAGCAACCCAAAACCAAAATTAATTCAACTTTTATGCGAGCACGTGATGTATTTTATTTTTCACACTACAATAAATAGTCATATTGAACAGCACAAAGTGTGCAGGAGTAGATGCTTCCCACAATGTTTTCCCAAGACTTGAAACAAGAGAACAGAATACTACACAAAAATAGCTGTTAAAATTTCACATTTATTTAATCCGATATATAAAATCGCAACTTCATATCAATATACTAAAAGATATGGAAGGGCTGCGCCAAATAAGGGTTGATAGTCCAGTAAAGTATTGCTAGGGTGCCAATAGATGGTCTAGGATACTTGATAGAGTTCCTCTGTGGATGCGTATGGTGTAGACCGTTCCGTATATGTAAATACAAGAGAGGTAGAGGCGACTAATGGTATAGTATGAAAGTTCAGGGTGTGATAGGTAACAAAAAGTAAAGAACTCACATTCAAGAGAGCTATGGCCAGCTCTGGTGTGGATTGCGTACAGCGGTATAATCCCAGCTTATGGGATATGTAGGGAGGGGGTCTCCGTCAACACCGTCTGGTAGTCCAGAACTCGGAAAAGAAAGACAGAAAGCAACAATAGTGCTCTCAATTTTGATGTGGTTCAATGTGCAGATAAGAAGAGGTAAAAAACTCACATTTGAGGGAGCTATGGCCAGCTCTGGTGTGGATAGCGTACAGCGGTATAATCCCCGCTTATAGGATATGTAGCTGCGATACGTCCGTCAGCACCTTCTGGTGATCCAAGGCTCCAATATAGAAGAATAAAAAGCAGCAATAGTGCTCTCAATTGTGATAGGTTAAGAGAGCAGTAGAGAAAATAAAATAATACTCACAAAGATAGAGCAGAGGTACTGCTCTATGGATAGGCGCTGGTGGTATGATCCCCACCTAGGATTTCTTGGAGTACTGGAACTTTAAAATTGCCAGTGGAAGTAAAAGTAACCAGGAAAGGTTAAAATGCCAGGAATAGGTAAAAAAAAGTAAAAAAAGTTGTTTAAAGTACATAAAGAGTGCAATAAAAAGAGGATTGGTACAATAAAGTAGCCATAAAACTTTTATTGATCTAAAATAGACAGTAAAATACAGAATTAATAACCATAAACGCGTTTCACCATAAGTGGCTTCTTCAGAATGAAGAAGCCACTTATGGTGAAATGCGTTTATGGTTATTAATTCAGAATGAAGAAGCCACTTATGGTGAAACGCATTTATGGTTATTAATTCTGTATTTTACTGTGTATTTTAGATCAATAAAAGGTTTTTGGCTACTTTATTGTACCAATCCTCTTTTTATTGCACTCTTTATGCACTTTAAACAACTTTTTTTACTTTTTTTACCTATTCCTGGCATTTTAACCTTTCCTGGTTACTTTTACTTCCACTGGCAATTTTAAAGTTCCAGTACTCCAAGAAATCCTAGGTGGGGATCATACCACCAGTGCCTATCCATAGAGCAGTACCTCTGCTCTATATTTGTGAGTATTATTTTATTTTCTCTACTACTCTCTTAACCTATCACAATTGAGAGCACTATTGCTGCTTTTTATTCTTCTATATTGGAGCCTTGGATCACCAGACGGTGCTGACGGACATATCGCCGCTACATATCCTATAAGCGGGGATTATACCGCTGTACGCTATCCACACCAGAGCTGGCCATAGCTCCCTCAAATGTGAGTTTTTTACCTCTTCTTATCTGCACATTGAACCACATCAAAATTGAGAGCACTATTGTTGCTTTCTGTCTTTCTTTTCCGAGTTCTGGACTACCAGACGGTGTTGACGGAGACCCCTCCCTACATATCCCATAAGCGGGGATTATACCGCTGTACGCAATCCACACCAGAGCTGGCCATAGCTCTCTTGAATGTGAGTTCTTTACTTTTTGTTACCTATCACACCCTGAACTTTCATACTATACCATTAGTCGCCTCTACCTCTCTTGTATTTACATATACGGAACGGTCTACACCAGACGCATCCACAGAGGAACTCTATCAAGTATCCTATGCCATCTATTGGCACCCTAGCAATACTTTACTGGACTATCTACCCTTATTTGGCGCAGCCCTTCCATATCTTTTTGTATCTATCCACCGAAGGACCCGAGGGGTTTTCCTTCATTTGGGTTGCTGCCTACCTTGACTAATTTTGTGATTACTAGCGCTGAATTCTTTTTGTGTTTATCATATCAATATACTGCCAGGCTCGCACATTGTGAAACAAAATTATTGTTCTGCGGTTAAGCTGTGATTTTTTAAATATTTAAATCATTAAATGTGAGTATTAACAACCATTACCTGCAGGTTCATGTACAGAAGTACAGCTTCTAGCCTTGTATCCTGTCACACGGAGTACTTGAAAAACAAACTGACAAGATGCAATGTGCTCACTAGGTGGCAGTGTTCACTCAAATACAAAAAGCAAAAAAACAAAACTACTTTCTAAAATTTTCAATTTTAGACAACTGTAAAATGGGACACTGAAGGGACAGGCTTATAGTAGAAAAAGAGTCTGTGAATTGCTGAAATCATAATTAAAAGTGTGCAGGGACACAAAAACTAGGGATATCCTTGCAGAGTTGCAGCAGAACATATGCAATTAGTATGCGTTGTTATGGGTTCCTAGGCACGGTTTGGCATTTTAAAGAAAAACTACACCGCCACTGGTCCCAGCCCCCATTCTACTATACATGTTAATGCCACTCAATCTTCCATACCGATGACATGTAGAGGATTCCTTGATGATTCAATGCTCAACCTTCCAACGATTCTCTATACATTGGGTACAATCATACACATTCATCCTGTATGTTCATGATAGTTTTCCCTTGAGATCAAACACTACATCAGTTATTGTGTAAGTTAGAGGTGAGGCAAGGTGAGTTTTCTGGTAGTATTTCTAAGAGCACTTAGGTAGACTAGGTAGTAAAGTCTATCACGAGTTTTCAAAAATGAAAAATTGTTTATAGTGTTTCAAAGATGTTTACTGTATTTAGATTTATCACATCAAAAAGGAACAAGGGAACATTAAAAATAATTATTTTTAAGATTGGAATGTTCCCTTTTATTTTAGATTCAGGGCCACATTGCTGCAATCAAAAAGCTGAAAAATAAATAAATAAAACACATTTTAAAAAAGCACACACTTGTAATCCAGCATCAGGACTGTCAGAAGCATTACAGACCTGTCTGATAGACACTAGGTATGTTCTCAGACAAAAGCAAATATAGTCCAGTTACATTGCCCAAATAAAGGGACTGCATCTATTAAGATTTAGTGTTTTTGATGCTTAGGATATCCCTCTAATCAGTGGCGGATCCAGAGCCTGATCTCGGGAGGGGCACTTGTAGATTATTTAAAGAAATAATCCAGACACAATAACCACTACAGGTCAGTGTAGTGGTTATGGTGTCAATAGTGCCGGGACCCCTTGACAACTTACCTGAGGTCTGCTGGGAAATGGGGCTGTAGTAGGGCATAGGAGCAGTGGTGTGTGTGAGTGGTGCAATGTGTAAGGGGTGCAGTGTGTGTGAGAGGGGGACAGTGTGTGTGTGTGAAGGTTGTAGTGTGTGAGTGAGGGCGGCAGTGTATGTCAGGGATGCAGTGTATGTGTGGGACAGTATGTGTGTATAACAGTTGCAGTGTGGGTGTGTGAGTATTGCAGTGTATGTGAGAGTGTGGGCAATGTGTGTGTATGGGGCGGCAGTGTGTGTGTGTGTATAGAGTGTGTGATAAGGGTAGGGGGCTTTTTTTTATTATATATATATATATATATATATATATATATATATATATATATATATATATATAAAATCTTTATTTTTTTTAAATTTAATTAAAATAAATATTTATGTCCCCCTCCCTCCTTACCTTTACTGGGAGGAGGGGGGACACTTAGTCCCTGGTGATCCGGTGGGGATTCCCTGGTGGTCCCAGTGGGGAGAGTGCCCCCCCCCCCTCCCCCTGGATCCGCCACTGCCTCTAATGCTTGCAATATGATGGGAAACAAAATGACTGCCAATTGTTTAGTTTTTTTTTAAATATAAAAAGATTTAAAAATATGTATTAACCGCTCTATTTTGCATAGTTCATTGCATGAAGGCCAGAAATCAGATACATTTTGTCTTTTTGTATTTCAAAATATTGAATGCGATTTTCATTGACAGATTTTCAGGCAAGAAAGAAACAAAAATAAAAAATAAATAATAATAATCTGTTTCAGGGCCCACCAATATGCCAGAATGTCATGATACCCTTGCTACAGCACTTGTAAATTTAATGACCAACCTTTAAAGAGTTAAATCATCTTTACACCAATCCAACCTCGTAACAAAAACAGATGGAATCAAGGAATGGAGTTTATCTCAACAGCCACATAGTACTCTGATAACAACAGACATGATTCTATCCAAAAAATAAAATAAACTGTCCCTTAAAGGGACTCTCCAGTGCCAGGAAAACAATCCGTTTTCCAGGCACTGCAGGTCCCCTCTCCCTCCCACAACCCATCCCCGGTTGCTGAAGGGGTGAAAACCCCTTCAGTCACTTACCAGAAGCAGTGACATGTCCCTCGGCGGTGGTTTAGACCTCTCCATAGGTAAGCATTGAAAATGCTTTTCAATGCTTTTCTACGGGGATTTTAGTGATGCTGGAGGTCCTCACACAGCGTGAGGACGTCCAGCGACACTATAGCACAAACATGTGCTATGGACAAGGAAGTGCCCTCTAGTGGCTGTCTAGTAGACAGCCACTAGGGGAGGACTTAACCCTGCAAGGTAATTATTGCAGTTTATGAAAACTGCAATAATTACAGTTGCAGGGTTAAGGGTAGTGGGAGTTGGCACCCAGACCACGCCAATGGGCAGAAGTGGTCTGGGTGCCTGTAGTGTCCCTTTAAGGGCAGTCACTACAAAAAGAAACGCTCTTACCTGTCCAGCCATGTGCAGTCTTATTTTACACAAGCAAAACTAGCAGATTCAATCCACAACATTGAGAATTAATTAGGGTACAATGTCCCAACATTCGTTATCATTTATTGATGTGTAGTCAAGAGCAGTCTTCCTTTCTCGATGTTAACATGAAAAAAAAGGGAGCACTGTGGCATTTTTGAGTGGTCCACAAATACTGGCCAGTTAACACATTAACTCAAGAAGACCACTAGATTCAGGAAATACAAAGTGTTATGCATAAAATTTTTATTAAATACTTTCCCACCCCCCCAATAGACTCTCTGATTTAAACAAAACCAAACAAAAAACAAAGTAGGCAAATGCAAGGGGATGTCAACTACCTACAAAAGTGCAAATCAAATGCAAACCTTGGCCAGTCTTTTTGGACGATATGCATGAAATTCACTAATGGCAAACAAAGATTAAAAAAACAAAACCAGCACTCAAGTTAGCATTATACGCAATAGTTGTAAACAATGTTATTTCACTCCATTTTAAGGCTGGAGATTAATAAATGCCCAGTATCATTAATTTTCAAATTATGATTGCAAGCTCTGGAGGAAAGGAAACACAATTTGCAAGAAAAGACACAATACATAAAAAAGTTCAATTTACATTTTTGCAGTTTAATACTTTGTCAACAAGAAAAAAAAAATGATATTGTAGATAACTTAAAGCTTTAGTTGTTATTCTATCCTGTTTTGATACATTCTGTGAAGTATAAAACAAAAAAACAAAAAAAAGTAAAAACAATTTTTTTTTTCGTTCTGGAATTGACTTATTTTTCGACTGAATTATGTGAAGTTTGTTATTTTGTTTTTGTCATAGAAGACTGGCAGCAAACAGATGTAGAGATAACAGAACAATTTTAGAGTGTGAAATGGATAGGTTCAGTCTGCCACACTGATAGTAGGAGTTGTGAAATAACCATTTTATTCTGTGAAAAATGTTCACTTGTATAAGCTCATTGTGGGACTCTGGTACATGCACATGTATGCATCACACAATAGCCTTCGAGCACAGCCCTGAATGTTCCGAGAGTCTAAGGCATGAAGTTCCTCCAGGGACATTCTAAGATATTCCCCAACCTCAGGACACGGGGTAACTTGTGGAATGTTAAACCCGTTCTGGCCACCTGTAGACAAAAAAATGAGTAGAGTTGACATCAGTGGATGCAGAGAGACAGATAATCGAGCAAAAATCCAAATTAAACTTTAATACCAGCCAAATCACAAGGAAACGTGCACATAAAGGCCTCCTGATTTTAAAGGTGCAGGACAGGAAAAAAGGCCTAGTAATCACATGACTAGGATAACTTTAAAAGATAGGTCTATTTCCTGTCCTAGTGACTGGACCCATTAGTATACATTGCTATTATTAGTCAGGAAATTACCGTCCATGGATTTACAATGCAACTGTTACAGAATGTCTTCCTTGTGGGTTTTTTTTTTTGTAGTCTCTACCTCTTGTTAAATTATATGTACACACACATAGATACACACAAACAGGAAAAACTCATGAACTCAATACGCACCATCCCGGTCTGCCATGCTATCAAAGAAAACCCAAGAAGAATCGTCCCGGCCATACTTGACAAATGCCACATAATGACTAGTTTCAATACAGAGGACGGCAAACAAGTCCATCTTTTGGTAAGGTATGCAACCATGCCTCCAGTCCCAATCCGGAAGTTCTTTGGGAAGGGAAACCGGGTTGAACTTATGATGCTGCCTCTTCGGATGAAGGTGTACCTAAACAGGGAGAAAATAAAATGGATGAGTAAGGCACTGTGAAAGAGTTAAATATCCAAGTATGTACCATCCTTATCGTTTACATATTTTATGAGAACCTCAAGTTTAAATGGCTTTGGCTTTATTTATGATAAAGAAAAAAATAAAAAAAGATGGATGTGCACGGAAAAGAGAGAGATATAAAGTATTTATAGTCAAGTTATGGGTGTGTGGTGAAAGCAAAACAATAGCAATGGCGAAGCAGTGAAGAACTAAAGGAAATAAATCTACAACCCCTCTACAAAAGCACTCTTCTTATTAACAACTATATTTATCAGTCAATGCAAGGATAGAACAGTAATATGACTCATGACATTTTTTAATAATGAAACAAATCCCCATCCCAGCTTTCTTCTCTGCCAAAAATTCCACTTTCCCATTAACAGTTATTGATTGAGGGGAAAAAAATAAAAAATTAAATTAAACACAATTAGTAGATTGTGTGACTATCCATATATAATGTTATAAGATTGGACAGTACAAATTGAATGCATAATACGCATTACCGCATATTCTTTTTAAGAGAAATCCTTTTCTTTCCCTATGGCACTTCATACTGTGTGTCTCATAAAAACTCATTTATTCACACATATATAGGGTCAGCGTTTCAGTCCCATAGAGGGCTTTCATCAGGTTATATTATTATTTTCTATTATATTAGTCTGGCAAGATAAAGTGGATTTCAGCAAGAACATTAACAAAATAAGTGAAGATATTCCCATTTCATTGACAGCGAGTCTAGTACTTAGCAGATGCTGAATGAGCCAGTCCACTTGAGATTGTTGCACAAGAGCTAGTTATGACCCAAGCCAATTTTATAATATAATATCAATGCATCTTAAATGAACACTACATAATGTTACAGTATAACCCCTTATGAAACAACTTCTGGAATAAAATGGAATCATGACAGAATATTTCCGTCATGTGTCCTTAAGGGGTTAAAAATAAGCAAGGCCGCACAAAAAGTCTGTTTAACTCCAATGGTGCCATGTGTGCAACTGTTAAGGCGCATGATCACATACAGCACTTTGGATGGAACCAACTGCGCCTAGTGCTTACAGATGCAAAGGATGATGAAAGAGCCCATACAAAGTGCTATTATAGTGATCTATACTTTAATTCTATAAACTCGTCACCGTAGGAAACACTTCAATAACATTACAAGGGTGAAGGAATGAGGAACATAAGCAACAATTTCAAAGAAGCAACAGTTCCTCTTTAATTGGATCAAGTTACTAGAAATTTTACACCATTATACCATATACACCTTTTTATTTTT